TTTTGGTGCCTATGCCTCTGCGTAGAACAGTTTATGGCTTAGTGCACATGGGCTCTTCGGAGCGGCTAGGTCATTGGATGGGTGGCAAAATGCCATGCAGCAAGGCTGCCACGCACAAATTGCGTGCCTCATCGCTTAGCGGACGAACTTTCTCTGCTGCGTGTGAAGTGAAGTGAAGTACTACTACTACTACTACTACTACTACTACTTCTACTACTTCTAGTACTTTGACGACGACGCTTTACTTGGTTCATGCAAAGAATCGGTCAGACAGTGCCGAAGTCGTTCATGCAGAAGTCCATAGTGTATGCCATGTTGTGGTGTCATGTGCTCGTGCTTAGGCCTGGAGACCGCGTTCGGGTGAAGCAAACTCTGCCAGCACATGCTGGAAAGGCTAGCGTGATGTGGACCCGTTGACAAGGGAGTGCGGGAGACTTCGTTGTCAGTCTCTCAACCTGCTGTCATGCCTGTCCTTGCAGGTTGGCACTGTAGAAGCTGACAACGATGGTTCTGGATGCTTCTTCGTGCTGTTGTGAACTTGGAACTTGTTTCCAAACTCAAAGCACGCTGAGAACACCTCAACCATGCTGGGGAAAGGTTTGCAGATGATGGGGGCCGAGCACTTAGAGAAGCAGAGGCAGCCGCTGGTGGCCTGGTGTTGTCATAAGATGTCATAAGGTTCTTCGAGACTGCGCATCAATCCCGTTCATCTGGATCCGGCGTAGTAACATGCAAGGCGTCGTTTTTGTCACTTACCATCGTCCCCTGGCGTTAGTCGAGAGCAGTCTCCGTTGTTTCGCTATTGGCTATGGAGGGTTTTTCTTGTCGCTGGCAGGCTGGTGCTGAGCGTGTGAGATGCCCGTAGTTTTTTGCAGTGACAGACGAAATTGCGAGAGCGTTCGAGGCTTCCTCAAATCGTGTTCGGTCTTGCAGGGCAGGCATAGCCAAGCCAAAGTCCGAAGACGACTTGTTTGCCTGCTGAGCAGACAATGTCTCAGCCTCTCGCAAGAGCGTGATAGCCTGGTCTCGAGCTTGAAATCCAAGGGAGGTGAAAGCCAATGAATGGGAAACCTGTGATGAAAAACTGCTGCAGGTGCAATCGAACATAGTGTGGAGATTCCGAGGATGGTGCAGTTGCATCATGTTGCTTCGAGCTATTTGCTGACAGCTTGGCTTATACTGTCGTCGAATTGTAAGCAATTGGTAGCAACACTCTTGGATGATACGACGCCTTTTTTCATCCAAAGCCTCGGACAGTCGAGAAGTGAGGTTCATTTACTGTTACTTTTACTGTGGCCCGTCATGGAGCCGGTCCTTGGATCCACGGTCACCTCGCGGGTCCCTGCGCGGCCTTCGGCCGTGGCGGCTCACAGGAGCACCGGTTTGAGCTCGAGCAGCGCCGCTGGCAGCGCCTCGAGATGTTCCTTCAGCCCGGCAATCGCTGTAGCAGGTTTGACTGCTGCGGCTTCGGCAAGACGTTCAGGCCGGCAACACGTGCAACGTCAAGGAACCATAGCGCAGCCTGGAGACAGTGAGACACCGAGCAATGCCATTGAGGAGTGGTTGTTAAGCCTGGAGCTGCCAACTCCTCTGAAGCCCGTTTTGGGCAGCTCGGCCTGGGCCAGTTTCGCTGCGTCGCTTGTGCAGATGTTCGTCGTTGCGGGTTTGTCAGCAGTGGGCACCTTCATCGAGCAAGGAGAATCTGCGACCTTCTATGCACAGAAGTATCCTGAAACCTCGGGGGTCATCCTGGCCTTAGGTTTCGACCACATGTACAGCTGCCCTCTTTTCTTGGGACTGCTTGCTTGGCTGGCTGCATCGCTCATTGCTTGCACTGCCACCACACAGCTACCGCTGGCGAAGAAAGCGCAGAGATTCAATTTCCATTCCTCTGCAGCAATGAAACGCAGAGGCTCGTTTCTAATGCGTATCAACTGTCCCGTAGCAGAAAATGACGAGCTGGCCACAACCGACAAGCTGCACCAGTTGAGGGGCGAGTTAAGGAAGCGGGGATTCATTGTCCGCTCCGATGGTGAAGACAAGCCAACCCAGCTAGCAGCCTCACGAGGTTTGCTGGGAAAGTTTGCGCCGATGGTCGTGCATCTCGCTCTACTTCTCAGCCTTGCCGGCAACGTGGTGGGCCTGGTTTTCGGTGCCTCCAGCGAGGTGATGATTGAAGACGGAGGCGCTGCGGATCTTGGCCGGGTTCTGGAAGCCGGCCGCAGGGCCAAAGGCCCTTTGTATGACTTCCTGAGCCCGACGAAGAATCTTATGGATGCCATCGATGTCAAAGTAGAGGACTTCCGCATCGAGTGGCTTTCCAGCAATGCAGCAAAGCCTGACTTAAACCTCCTGAAAACTTCAAAGAGTTTGGGCCAAATAAGGTACAAGGACGATGGAACGATTGATCAGTTCTTCTCGAAGCTCGCCATCGAAGACTCCAAGACGAGAGAGCGACTATACAGCTGCCTGACTGAATAACCCGCCCGAGCTTTGGCTGAGCCAGCTTCCCTTCACCCGTAGTACTGCTGACTGCATCGGCAGAACCGCTGCCGACTTGGTATGGATTCGCAAGGCGACGAAATTTTCGTGAACAAGCCGTTGCGTTTCGGAGGGGGTACGTCTACCCGGCTTGGTTGACGTTTGACATGAAGATTGGATACGTTTCAGTTCCGTCTTTCGGCCCGCCAGGATCTACCAAGCAGACTGGGGCATTGACAGGCTACAAATGTGCTCCACGTTTGTCAAACCAATGAAGCGACAATGTTTCGGCAGAAATGCTGTGCGGCGGCGAGGTACCTGAACGGTTATCCCATCGTGGTGCCGTGCAAGAGTCTACCACCCGAGAAAGGAGAGCGATCGCATCCCTGGCTGTGTTGTTTGGCAATCGATTCCTCTGAGGGGTGTGCGGACGTCATCAATCTTGTCAGGTGGGCGGCGTTTCTTCCTCTGGAACTTGTGACAGCCGAGGCAAACCAATGCCCTGCATGTTTATGAAGGGGTCCAGTCTTCCCGATATCCGACGCGTCGCATCCCACAAATCGCGCGTTGCATGCAAAGTCGTCTGTGCCAAGCAGCCGGTCCACCCCGGAGAGCCGATCTTGGCAAGGTTTGACCAGAACCTGCGAATTGCTCACAGGCAAGCCATGCTACGTCCCTGCTGGGTGCAGTCCGGATGCACCTCCTTCCGGGCATTTTGCCTAGCATGCTTTTGATGCGAGGATGCCGCGCTGACACGGCAAAAGCGCTTGTCTTGGTGTGGGTGTCGTCACGATTAACGGGCCCAAAGCCTCGCAGCGGTCCAGTGTACCTGCGATTTATTCGGCCTCGAGCCTCCGCCGCCTCCGCTGTCCGATGCAATGTCAAACATGAATCCAAACCAGATCCAGGACTTCCTTCTTGAGAACACTATGTTCTTGTGGCTTATGATAGAAAGGTCCACCTCAAGCGCAACCAGCAAAACCAGACAGAAAACATGGCAGGCTCTCAGATCGGAGGAAGGACAACAGGAGTTCAAGGATTCGCGTGCATTCCTCAATAAATGTAATTATCTACTGCCTGGACTTTCGTCCAAGGGCAGACGGGAGAACATGGAAGAACGTGCGGGATGATGGTGATTTCCATGGGTGGTTTTGAAAGACGCACAGCCTGACAGAGTTAGGCCGTCCCGTGCAGCTCCGTTGCTCTCAGAAGCTTACATTCGCCAGAACCCCACGACTGTGAAGCAGATCACGAAGCCAAAAGAAGGTCGGCACCCTGGTTGGTGTTGTATGCTGTATAGCCGACCATCGTCGACTCGTCGGCGAGCTCTGCCATGAACCCGGCCATGCAGCATGCTCAGGAATCGTCCTAGTTCTGAACAACATGCGCAATGTCCAGGCAGAACACGTCTGAGCAAGAACAGTGCGCTGTTTGTTTGCCTTAGTATGTGACTTTGCAGGTTTATGGATCCGACAAGAACCTGGCAGGGGTTCTTCGATCTCCAATGGCCAAGGCCTTCTGCAAAGCGCCACGGCACTGCAAATGCGCTTTCAGAAGGATGTGCCCGTGAGTTTGGAGGTGGAGAAAAAGATGGAAGGCATGCCAATCCAGTTTGGCGAGGTTCGCCAGACTCGCCGGCATGCAATGTCTTGCCTTTCGCTTCCAGTTCCTTTAGAGTTCGATCATGGCAATTTCCCCATGCTGCCCCTTCAGGAGATCACCGTTGAAGGCAAGACCAAGCTACGGCTGGACAAGATCGTCGGCTCCACCGGCCTAATCGCCTGACTTCCAGATTTGGACTCTGCCGTTCTCCCCGCTCACTTGTTGAAATACGTGTCTGAAGGTCAAGAACGACCCAGGCGTGCCTCTCGTGTATACGGGCAACGGACTCAATGCTGGGCAGCAGTGGCATCTGGGAATCTCGGGGGCTTCATCCAACTTGACTTTGTTTCGTCTGAATCCTGTCAATCAAAGCCGAGGTTATGCGCTGCTCATGCCTGCCACGCTTCTGAGCGTATTGCCCTTTGTGCAGGCGAAGAGCAGCATGTTGAAGGAATACTGCGTGCAGCAGACGGTTTCATTGAATTGCTCAGATTGACATTCGTTTTCGTGCGCAGGTTTGGGTGGCAGTGAACAAGGATGACCGCAACCAGCAGCACCGGCTCGTTTTCCTTTTTCGTCTTCGGAATGACTGCAGGCTAAAGTCTTGCATTCTGAAGGATCTTAGTCAGTGGCCGCGCGAACCGCAATCAGCTCTCCTTCGAGGCCCGGTGCGCAGCTCAGATGTCTGCTGCGGTAGCTTGCCTCGTCCAGGACGAGATGAAAGCTGCCGTCTTGTCCGTGGCAACTTCCTGAAACATTGGCGAACATGACGAATACATACGAATGCCAAAGCCAAGATACCCGTAGCAGCGCTCTTTTGGACATAACGGTCTTACGTCTCCATGTCGTTATCCTCTCCTCATGACAGCCATAAACTTGCGATGGGTCGGCGATGCAATGCAGTTGCGGACTGCAATTTTCGACTCCCAGACTAGACCCGTCCAGACCCTGCCGGAAGCCGCGACGCTGTCGAGCAGCTACTAAAAAGGGCTCGTCTCGGCGCTCTGACAGGTTTGGTTCTGCATATAGGGAAGGAGTTGCCCTGTGATGGGTCCTGGTTGTGCATTCCCCACAGCTGCAGCATCAACCTTATCAGCAGGGCGCCCGACACAGGAACGGCACAGCAGTCAGATCTCTACGATGTGTGGTGTCGTAGATCTCAGATACATCATGTCGCTCAACTGGTTCGGTTCCTTAGTTCGACTAGTTCTAAGCATCGGAAGTAGCTTGGTCTAGAGCGGACTGTCATCGCCATGGCGCGGCATGTTCTGCCGATGCCTCGGATCCTGGAGGCTCTGGCGTTTGCGTTTCTGAGAGCGAGGCCCGGCCTTCTCGGCAGCAATGGTGCAGATTCCAAGGAGGCCACGACAGGGGTGACAGAGCAGTGTCTGGAAAGTGCACAGCCTGCTAGAAAGCTCAGCACGTCATTCAGCGCCATAGAGTTGGTCATGAGGTCAGGTCTGCAGTTGCAGCTTCCATTACCTACTGAATGCAAGTATATTGTCCCAAAGCTTTTTACCGCTCATACCAGACTGGGCCTCGTTCCACAGCTTCTGTGTCTAGACTGCCAGTCATCTTCATGTCTATGCCTTGATGCTCCTCCTCGCAGTGACGAAAAAGGTGACGGCAAGATTGAAATCAAAAAAACGCAGCTGCATTCCCCAGTCAATCGTGTAGATGCTGGCCTTGGTAGACCACCGATCTAATGCGTAAGGAATATGTCACAGTTTCTGAGTCGCCATGTGTGGAACTCGAAGGCTTCAGATTAGTTTCAGGATATGCAGTCCATGAACTCTATAGAGCAGGGGTGAGGGGGAGGGGGAGAAATTACGTACTTTTTCGATTCTGAAGGGGTACTGGTATGAGGCTGGTCGGCTCGTCGGTGAGGAACCCGTCCTTTTGAAGCATGGGTTCGGTGACTTCGAGGAGAAAGACTGTCTTGCTGAACATACCCCTGCCCTGAGCAGACAGTATCTCTTTGGAGAGGGGACGCGGGTCATGGTGAGAATGGTTGTGCTTGAACGGGTTTGCGGGATGCCTTACTCTGCAGTGCTGGGAGCCACTGGAGCCCCGTTGCGAAGGCGGGAGGGATGACGCCTGACCCACGGCTGCACACCCCGGTCGCTGTCCATCCATCATACTCTTCCCCTTCATTTCCACAAGCAGTGTCGTGTGGGTGTGGCAATAATGTGAGCGACAGTTCAGGAACTACAGTCCAAGAAAGATTTTTAGATTGTGGATAGCAGAAACACATCAGATCTACCTTTGCAAAAGTTCAATCATGCTCCCCAAGACAAGCAAGAGTTCGACAGCGACACGGTTGCTCTCGCAGCTGCTTGCAGCCAGTTGCAGAGATGCTTGCTGTATGTCGGGCTCTGCCCGCAGGCGAGGCGCCTGCCTCGAGGAGCTGCTGAGCAAGGCGGGAGCTGCGGATCCAAGTCTTCGAATTTTATGATCTTTTCCCCGGATTCTAGGTACTGTAGTGCTTCTGAGTTGATCTTTAGGGATGGCTTGACATGCTCGCACCGATGGCGCCTAAGTATGCATGGGCAGCTTCGAGTAACCAGCGACCGACACTCCCAATTTGCGGGTGGCTACGAGGAGTCGTAGCCAAAGGTAACTACAGTGCACTTGTGTTGTGATTTGAGTGTGTGGCTCAGTCCATCTCAGTTTTGCATGCTTGGAAAACTGTGCTTCAGACGTCATGTGACTGGCGGACGAGTGCCAGCTGCTAGATTTTATCACTCTTTTCAGAGCTGCTTTTCAAAGGTGAAAGAAAAGCATGTTATCGTAAGCATCTGCAATTGACACCACAGGAAGTCTCCTTGGCCTCCTTGTCCTTGTCCAGGCGCTCTTTCTGCACCGCCTTGGCGCCTTGCTCTGCGACGCCGCTTTACGGGCTTGGCTGTGCCGGCGGGAGCCCAAGCAGCACAGCCAAACAACGAATTGAGCCCAATCCTCCCATAGCGAGGCCCCAGGCTCGTGCCATCTAATGCCCCATGCCGACAATTCCCACAATAGGTTGTGCGAGACAAGAACTTCGCACGGCATCTCACGACCAAAGCGGTCTGAACTATGTTTTTCGTAGTGGCTAGAAATCACTCGGGGCCTTTTGCAGGCCAACTCTTTCCACGCTTGTGGCAATGAGACGCCGCGGAAGCGTTCTGGTGAAGAGTCGCCCACCGGTGCGTCGAGGCGATGGCGGCGACCATGTTGCAGAGCGTCTCTTTGCTGTGAGTATTGGAAAGTGCAAGTGCTGCAAGTGGGCAGATGGCGCACGCACCGGAGTGCGATGCTTGCAGTGAAAGACGAGGATCGAGCCTTCCCTCGGTTTCTGGAAGGGGGGAGTGGGGCTGTGGTGAATGTCAGGAGTTCGAGATCGCTGTGCAGCTTGCGGCCTACTATGTGGCGGATGCGACTGAGGGCCGCCTTGACAATGGGCTTGCATCGAACTTCAAGTCCGGGAATAAGCGCAAGCTTTACTGCTGCTTGGTGCAGACCCACATCGCTTGGCATGCTGCTCGCCCAAACTCAGTTGTGACTCTTGCTCTCTTGCCAAGCACCGCACGCATCCAGCTCGTCCTCTTCCGGAGGTCATGGTTATGGCGGCGTGCGTGCTCCACTCCCTTCTCATCATCCTCGAGCCCCCTCCAGGACAAAGCTGCGCCCGTGGCAGCCCGGACTGATTTAGGTTCTGCTAAGAAAGCTAAGACTTGGGAATCAGTTGATGAGATTCCTGAACGTTCACCTCATCATTGAAGCAGGCTGGGAGAACGTTGCCGAACTCTTTCTGGTCCTGGTCTATGTAGCTGACATCTTGCTGAAGGTGCGCGCCTGATGAACTCGTCGGAGTCTGCTCAACCACACAACACACAATCTGATGTCGGCGGCAAGTTTTCCGTGAGAAGACAGCTTCATAACGACTGCAGCCGCAGGCTGAAGCCACTGCTGGATCCTTGTAGTTTCGTTGTATGTTCAGACATCACGGAAGAACGGCTGTGCGGAGTCTGCGGAGACTCGGATGACTCGGAGAATAGAGACCGGAAGGTGTGGCACCTCTGCCACGAGGCGTGAGGAACGTACACAAAGAATTTGGGACTGCAGAGCCGACGAGTCCATCGCAATGGAGCACTGCAGTGCGGCAGGGTTCGGGATTGATCTGGGTTCGTGATCTCGGAAACAAATTCCTGGGAGATCTTAGACGAGACCAAGCAATCCCAGCTTCGTGACACGAGTTTGCCAGAGTCTGCGAGCATGGCATCTTGCTGTCGCTTGTTGGGTTCACGACTAAAGCGAAGACTGCTACCCCAAGTTTCGCGTAGCTGAAACTTCGCAGCAAGCATAAAGCTATCCTCTGTCCATGAGTGATATTGATGCTTGAGAAGCCATTCGCCGGGACTGCCCGTGCTGGGCTTCGGAGATCTTTGCATTGCTTCCCAGCCAGGTCGCGTACATGGGCGCTGGAACCTTCCTGTCGCTCCGAGGTTCCAAGGCCAAGCGCAGAGCTCAAAGCAACCTCGTTGCAACTCTTTCCACTGACTGCGTGATCTCTGCGCAGATCTGGCAAACCACTTACGCGGCCCTCACGGCCATCCTTTTTCTCGACGCTGCGCTCGCGCCATGCACCCGACTGTCGCGACCCTTGCGGCCAATCATGCTCGTGCTACGCCCAGACCTCAGAAATCCGGAAGCAATGCAGAGTACGGAATTGTCGTGACGAAGCGCAGGATCCCGGAGTGTCCGGAACTTTTACACCACAGTGCTCCGCATATGTCCCAGCCTGTTGAAGGTCTTGATGCTGTGGCTTCGTAGCATTTCAGCAGTCTGCAAGATCCTTCAATTCCGGAGGCATTTGCTGTTGCAGAGCAGCGTTCGATTTTCTTGAGGTTGCTGTTTATCTTGACGGCGTCGTCCCTTGGCATGGCCCGGCTGCTGCGCGGCAGCGGGACACGCTACTTCACAAGCTCGTTGGCCACCTTCCAGGAAATGGCCATACTGCTGCTGACCCAGGAGCTTAGAAGCTTTCCCAGAGCAGTCCAAGAGCAGCTCAAGAGCCGTGGCAGGACAACTACAAGGTCACTTGGCCTGCCCGATTCTGGCCGCTGGCATGAGCTGGCTCGTGGCGTTGTGAGCTTCTCTTGTCAGGATCTCCTGCATGATCTTAGTGATCACGGAGGGCTGGCATCGCTCCTGGTCTTCTTCACCTTTGTGGTTGTTGGTGTATTGTTTCTGATGCAGTCCCCCGGCCCGCACGTACAACGCAACGCTGTTTTAATGTCTGTCAAAGGGCTTGTGCTGACTCCTGAGACAGGTTGGTGCTCGGGACGGTCATCGACACCTACATGGAGGAGGCGCAGGAAGAGCTGCGAAGCAAGCGGGTGAAGCAAGCGAAAGGCCGGGTTTCCATCCTTCGGCACTGGCAGCTACCTTTCTGGTCGTTGGAAAGCTGAGTGTTTGTCGGAGGTCTGATGCGGGCCTTCTCGGTTCTGGACCTGCGCAAAGAAGGATTCTAGCTACCGTATTGAAATTTGCAACGTAACGAACACAAATGTGGATGCCTGTGCGCTGCTGCATTCCTCAACCTGCTCGAGGACACCTGCGCCAGAGGGCTTTCGACCGCCTCATCCAGAAGTTGCGGCCATCTGATTCACCCTTCGAAAGGCACTTGAAGTTTAGCCGCTTGGCCTGTGCCGATACTCACAAACTCTAGTTGCTGTGGATCTTTATTCTGGCTATATTCATCACTGGCGATTGACAGCTTGAAGGCTTGCTCTCCAACAAGTACAAGTCGATGGTGCCCGCAAGTTCAGGTCCTTCAACCCCTGCACGCAGCCGGGAGGACAGCACCTTGGACAGTGCATTTGCATTGGCGCAGGCTCAGTGCACAACACAATCGAGCTATGCTAAGCCTTTTGCATCTGACCATATATCCGCACCCCCTATGCTTCGAAGGTTGCGCAGAGAGCATCGCAACTTTCCACATCGTGGTTCGCGGTGATCTAAAGCACGCGTATGTCAGTTCGAAGCAAAGACAGAGGGTCATGTATGAACACAGGGCAAGAGTGTCTAGACAGAATTATTGAAGAGTTTTGTGCTAGTTTTTTTCCAAAGCCTGCCAGATTCGGCGGTTCAGCAGCAGCATCTCTTCAAGCAGAGATGTGGCATGAAGGAGCTTTCTCCTTTGGCACACCCGCCCTCGCCACCGAAGCGGCCGATGATTCCACTTCTTCCTCAGTTGCCTGAATCGCCTCTACCCTTCCAGGCAGGAGTGGTCTTGGTGCCCACTTCCGAGCATGGCATTTCGCTTCAAGGAGCCCACGAGCGGCCCCTGGACCAATCCCGAGCCCAACATTGATCCCATCGACTTCTTGTCGCTCCACACGGCAACATGACACAAGAGAGCAGAGAGTGCCTTCTTGGGATGTCCCATTTAGGCCAAGAATGGCGAAAGCATACGCGAGGTCTTGGAGCTGACCTTCAAGCCCCGGCGCCCGGCCTGGGATGTCCCTGGCGTCTGCCGCGAGCAGCCTTGGCCGGGCCCCCAACCGCGCCACGAACATTGCGGGGCCGGGCCGCCCGCCCAGGTGGAGCCGCGGTGCGGAGCGACTCCTCTCAGATCCCCGTGCCTCCGTTCGAAGACTCTGCTCGACTGTGTAGAGGTCTCCAAAGCTTCCAGAGATTTTGGATGCGTTTCATACTCAGGCTATATGGTGCTCGTGCGGTACCTGCTGTGGGCCGATGCTGCAGTTTTCTTGGCTGATGCTGAATGCATCGAGCCACTAGCATCACTTGGATGCTGGCTGCAAGTGAATGTCACTCGGTCACACTTAGCGGATGCTGCTAGTGCATGGACATACAGCAACAGCCACATGTCAGACATAGACGAACAACACCCCGACGACAGCAACAGCTGTGACGAGGACTTGCTTCAGACCGCTTTCCTGTTGCAGATGGCCATGCAGGACAGGAGTCGCTCGTTCCTGCTGTGCAGCCCCTGAAAGTCTTCGATCCGAATCCTGATGCCAGGTATTTGCTTTGGGCAGTCTGCGAAAAGCCTGGCGCTTCGGTGGTTCTTCGGACACCCGAATACTTCTCAGAGCAGAGCTAGTTTTAGCCGCTCAGTCGCACCATTCATTGTCTTTCTCTTCCTGCTGTCTCGCTTTGACAGTGGCTCTCTCTGGTTCTTAGGGTCGCACGCTCGTGCGCTTTGCCTCTGTGTCCTCTCTCTGTCTGACTCTGTTTTGTGCTCCGTTTGTTTCTGCACTTTATTGCCATCAGAAGTATCTGAGACCGGAGGGCTGCTGCTCTTGACATGTCTTCATTCATCCTTCACTTGGCATCTGCTGCCGACAGTTTGAAGGCAGGGCTGGCAACTAACATCCTGCACGAAGCAACGCCTTTCAGTCCTAGTCCCAATTGGCTTGAGTGGCACTGTTAAGTTGGCACCGTTGCGGGACTGGCTCTTTCCCCAGCGGATCGTGAAGAAGAGTGCATATGTCTTGGACAGTTGCCAAAACCCACGTGGTGCCGAAAAGTGGGAAGTGCTGCGGCTTCTTGTCAAGCTTGCTGGGCTTGGCGCAAGTTTCCTGGCGTTGCATGGGACTTCCAGCGGAAAGCAGCGAGACAGCGCACTCATGTTCCTTCTCGACGCAAAGTGGAAACAACATCCGAACGCTGTCTGTTGTTATTGCTTTGCCTGCTAAACATGCTTGGCGGCCTCAGTGCATCAGCTGAAGACATATCTGCTTGATGTTCTGCGAGGCAGGTGCGCTGACAATCGCTTCGGCCGCAACTTTGTCCTGCAGCGCCTCTTCTGGAGGAACGTTAAGAGGTCCAGGGAGTCCAGGGTAAAACTTGTCCCTCAGATTTAGAGCTGTTCGGAGCGTGGCACGTCACGTGTGGCTGCTTCACAGCATTTGCCATTGCGCTGTCTGTCTTTCCAATTTACGATGCTACAAAAAAGGGCTACCTGCCGTCCTGTTTCAGCAAGGTCCCTTGGCGAGCTTTCGTTGCTTGGCCAATATCTACTTGGCACACCATTCGCGGGGTCTTGCAAAGCCAGGTCTTCCCAGATTCCCACCCGCGCAGAGACTACCAAAGACCTCGCACCGATATCAAAGCCGAGAGCTATCAAATAGTTCAACGTCACCATATTTAGCTGCATTGGGTGCCGAAGTTGGCGTTTCAGGGATCCCAATGCTTGACTGCAGAAGTCGTAAACCCCGTGCTCGAGTCAAGTCGAGTCCGTCTGCGAGGGCCTGCCGTGGCTGGTCTCGGTGCACTACGCAGCCTTCGTCTGGCAGCCGCGCGGCAGACTTTTCTTACATGCATTTGCATAGAGGTTCACACCCTGCGCCTGCAACAGCCAAGCACCGAACCAATGCGCAAAGATGATCAGTGCCGAAATGTTTCGACCTTTGAAAACCTCATTTGCACAAGGAGCAGGCACGGTCGGTAGTGTACCGATCCAAACAGTCTGGCGGCTGACGCTCGAACGGCGCTTGGTGGAGCAGGAAGAAAATTGGGAATACCGATGCGAAGGCAGTTTCCCATGGCGCCCTCCATGCTGGGCCTGCAGAGGGCTCTGGATTTTCATTTCCTGCACCAGTAGTCTGTTTTGTAGCACCACGTAGCACTGCCGACAGCAGGTCTGCCACGGAATGCATGAGTACATCGTAAGTCCATCACTGACCCAAAGACCCGCAGTATGGCAACGCCGGTTCAAGAAGCTTCTGTCAGACAAAACTCTGCATTGTTGCGGCCTCGGTCATTGCGGACGTGTCTGCTGAGGCCACCTTCGGAGCCCTGCGACGCTTTGGCCAGTGCTTGGCAGACATCCTCCCGGTGGGGGGAGGGAAGAGGGGAACGGGGGAATTGTCGGGCCCGAAGCACGCAGTAAAACGACTGCAGTGAACCTGCATAAAAATCTATGCATCAGGCGCCAATCCAGGCCAATGCTACGCGAGTCGTATGCAAACCCACTTTTAGTAGAAGGTTTCGACTACTGGTGCTGCATACATTGTGTTGCGGTATATGCGAGCAAGGCAGCATGCACGCCAGTCGGAAAGCAAGCAACAAGCACATCCGCCAGGCGGCAAACCGGCAGCCCAAAGACATCCATGAACCAAGCTTTACCGAAGGCATGCTCTTGTTTTGCGTCCAAGGACGGCGCAGCAGCAATAATAGTAGTAGTAGTAGTAGTAGTCGTCGTCGTAGTCGTAGTCGTAGTCGTAGTCGCAGTCGCAGTCGCAGTCGTGGTCGTAGTCGTAGTCGTACTAGTACTAGTACTAGTACTAGTACTAG